TTTTCTAACGATAGAAATGCCGTATAATTTGTCTCTTTTTGTTAGCGCAACGTGTCATAATAAGTAACTGTACGTAGATATAGTACTACCTGCGCCACTTTAAAATACAATAATGTTAGTGTGTAACCTGTCTATCTTTTTTAATACGTCTTTGCTCTAAAGTCACATTTTGGTCGTCTGCTATTGAAATCTGAAAATGATTATTCTACATTTAAAAAAAATTAGACTATCAAATTATGAATGTGGAAAGTATCGTAATCGAAAGTATTTATATGATACATTCCACATATCAAATATATATATAACTTACAATTCCGTGTAGTACATTTTTATTTTTTTAGTTATAAGTCATTGTGGTATTTATACAATATGTAATATCATTATATAAACTTATAGAAATAACTTTTTTCTTAAAAACTCGAACAATTTTTTATTTTATTAAAAAAATAATTGTATGCAAATTGTATGTGGTTTTATTACCTCTGCATTGTCTGGGGAGTAAGAGGATTGCCAAAGACCCCGCTTTACGTAGCTTTAGCATCAGCTAGTGTCAGTAAGAGGTAATAAAACCACATAAAATTAATTTTTTTTTAAATAAAAAAGAATATGGTCGAGTTTTCAAAAAAAAATGTAATTTCTATAGATTTGAATACTGATCCTGTTAACTTACTTAACGGGAACCACGGGGTTTTTGTTACATGTTGTATAAATAAACTCAAAGTTATTTGTACATGGTTATAACTTTTTTTTTTTATAGGAGAGCAAACGAGCATGCGGCTCACCTGATGGTAAGTGACTACCGGCGCCCATGAACAACTGCAACACCAGGGGAATCGCAGATGCGTTGCCGGCCTTTTAAAAAGGAGTAGGCTCTTTTCTTGAAGGTCCCTAAGTCGTATCGGTCCGGAAAAATCGCTGATGGTAATCGATTCCACAGAGCACTCCCCATGGTAGATGCGAAAGAAAATGCAAAGGGATGCAACATCTCTTCGCAGTGCCAATGAATCGAGCCGATCGGAAAGGGCTCGGTCGTTGACAATTCGAGCCGCTCTGCGTTGGATGCGGTCAAGTGGAAGGAGCTGGCACTGGGGAGCCCCTGCCCAGAGATGGGAACAGTATTCCATGTGAGGCCGAACTTGCGCCTTGTAAAGTAGCAGGCGGTGTGCCGGCATGAAATACTGTCCCGCTCTGTTGAGCACGCCAAGCTTTTTAGAGGCCAATTTGGCCTTCCCTTCCAAGTGACCACGAAACTGCACGTCACTCGATATGTCGACTCCGAGGATACCGATACTGGCTGAGGCAAGAAGGGGAGTGCCTTGAAACTGAGGAGATACGACAAAGGGGTTCTTTTTAGCGGTAAACGCGCAAACTTGTGTCTTCTGAGGATTAAATTGGACTAGATTTAGTCGCCCCCAATCCGAGACTTTGTTCAGCAAAGACTCGACTTCAGACACAAGTTTGTTCCGGTACTCAGCGACGTTTTCCCGAGAAATATTGGCACGGCCGGTGTATAGATCATCACCAGTGCTGTCATCCGCGTAGAAATGAATGTTACCAGTTAGCAACATATCATTGATATGCAGAAGAAACAGCGTTGGTGATAGCACACAGCCTTGTGGAACACCAGATTAAAACATAACATAACATTAACACCATTTTATAGATTCATCCACAAACATTAGCTACAATGAGCACTCATTTTGAAAGCGACGATTTAAAAACGATATTTGCGACTAGTATGTGCATATATACCTCTGTGAAGATGCCTAGCGATTTGTACATAGTATTTGTTACACATAAAAGCAATTTAATCCAGTGTTAAAAATCTAATATTTTTTACCTTTAAAAAAAACTAACGTTGAAAATAACAATCCCGACGCAGACTATTTATTTTACAGCAAAGCAACACTTGTTCAGTGCGGGAACGAAGCCTCGGTCCTGCAGCGCCGCAGCCAAACGCTTAGCCACTGCACTACGGAGAAGTCATTTATTTTTTACTTAATTAATTACTAGTTTAATAGTGCGTTTTTATTTTATATTTTCTTTATACATATTTTTTTTTCCTAATTGTAGAGATTTAATTACAAATTGCTGTGTTTGAAATACATTGATTTCTTTTCCTCATCGGCATTTTTACTCAATCCCCCACGTTAAAAAAATTATTTCTCATAAATAATTCAGTATAGAGATCTAACTTTTATTATGTAAAATATCGATGAACAATATATCGATAAAGGTAATATCGATAAAATTATTCGATGATAGACATTTACAGCACTATTGTAATACGTCAATGTTGTCAGCATTGTTTGTCAAAACTAAATGTCTAGGGGTGTCCACTTTGAAAATACATCGATGTTTTTTTTCGATGTGATGCATCGAGACTGTGCATCGATATATTTCGATGCATCGGTTAGAAACATCGATGTTTTTGCAACATCGAGTACTTTTTATGACTTTACATTATAAATTTATAAATCTGTAGTCAACTTCCTGACATCCCCATTCAAACAATCGACAATTTTGAATGATCTACTCTTACATCGGCACTGTCTTTGTCCGCACGCGTTGTGTGTGTGTTTGTGTGTGAGTGTGTGTATGTGAGTGTTCAAGAATGTAAGACAGTTAGATAGATATTCTTTATTGCACGAAACACAAATTATCTTAATCTTAAGAATATTATTATTAACAGGCAAATATATTCATAGTTATTTATATTTATATATTTATAGTTTTTTTTTACTTTAATGCACAAAAGAAAAATCGTATATATGGCGGACTCAATGCCTTAAGGCATTCTCTCCCAGTCAATTATATATACTATTTATATTTGTATTTATTTATTTTATATATTAGTAAAATTTATATATATCTTAGTTATTTATCTTTTTTTGCTTTTATTCTATTCTGCTACACATTTTCAGTTCGCCCTTTGTATTACTTTATATTAAGGAATGCAATAAAGAATAAATAAATTATTATTAATTATCATTAGTCATTGTACCTACTATTAAATAGACGGCGGCTCTAGAACAAAATTCACGAAAAATGTGTCCTGAGTCAACCTATAAAAACGTATTATTTACATATATATATATATATATATATATATATATATATATATATATATATATATATATATATATATATATATATATATATATAAATATATGTATAATATATATATATATATAGCAGCCTTTCAACTACAACCAGAAGCTATTTTCATCTTATGCAGCTTCTAGCGAAAATTATCGGTTTGATTTTTTGTTTTTACAATTAATGTGAATTTAATTTGAATACTATGTTGTAATTTAATGTTTAAATTAATTACGTATGTTGTATTTAAGCAAAATATTACTTTTAAATTATTAAAATAGTCCTTATCGAAAATATATATAAATATAAATAGTTTTGCTCGTTTTGTGATACAGTAATTTTGGGAGTGTATTATCAATCGACAAAACAAAGACTAGCGCGCAATCGCAACTCTTTTTGCATTTTGGAACTCTTTTGACTCGGACACTTGAGTGCAGATCCGAGGTACATTTAGTAGGTCAATGTTTACGATATTATTTTAAATGATTTTAATAGAAAAAATCATGCATCACAATAAAAATACTTACATATGGAATATAACTCCATCTTTTGTAAATTTTAAGTATTTTGACTGCTTTATTGTCTATTGAATTTTAAGCTAGTAGTACCAGTTACTCGACTCCATCGAGTCAGTAATTCATTCTTGGGGCGATGTATACGCTTTTACAACAAAATTCCAGGAAATATAAAAAACTTTCGCACGCAGCACACGTCATAATGGATACCAATAAAACATATGAAATTTGGACACTGGTGATAGAAGTGTATAAAGAAGCGGCTTCTTCATCCAGTATCTCCTTTTTGTCTTTTTTTTTGCGGTAGCACCGCAGAAAGAACGTTATCTGAACGTCGTAACGTTTTTAAACGTGGTAGAGTCATACTGCAGCTTTTAAAGACTGTGTTATGGGCGTAATTATTGATTAACTAGTTGTTTTATCAATAAATATGGGTGTCTATGGGCCACAGTATCCACTTAACGTCAGGTGGACTGTGCTCATTTGTCACCCTTATTCTACATAAAAAGAGCCAAGGCTATATTTACCGATTCATTTATATTTTGATAAAACTAGCGCCATTCTCAACGCGTGTGTCCAGCGAGACGTACACTCTCACATAGAATGGCAGGCATGTGTGTAGAGACAATTCTGATATTGCCCCGAACGCTGTTCGTCCTAGATTGCCCTGGGGCACGAAAGTGAGAAGCCGCCGTAAGACCGAGACAGACCAGACGATTTTCTTTAGATTTTCTTTAATACACAACCAGCCAATCTCAATTTCTTCATTCAGCTAAGGGACTGACAGCCGCCAACTAGCGCCACCAACAGGTTTAGATATTATAACTTCTAAATCAGAGCATGTTTTAGTTCTTCTTATTTAGAAGTTATAATATTATTAGTGATAGATAAGTATACCTGTTTACAATTGACTGGTTATCATTGATTCGATGTTTAATGAAAATACATCGATACATCGAGTATATCAATAGCTTTCCAAAACATCGGATCGATTCGATGCATCGTATTGTAAACATCGAGTGAATTCGATGCATCGATGTATATCGAATATCCCTATAAATGTCATATCTTGATGTTGGTCACTGACATAGAAGTATATATTATATCTAATGATATTGGTATAGTATGGTTATGGTATAGTAGCTTGGCGTACTTTATGGAAGTCCCGCCTCTTAAACGTAGTGATTATATTCTCTTTGAATAGTAATTTCAAATCTAATCAAATATATAATGAAGTAATTATGTACCTATATAATATACCAGGAAATTTAATTTAAATACGGACGTTTGAGTGCACAGTGTAGGTGCTTCTAAGTGTGAACTTGTGCAAAACGTTTTAATTCACAAAAATTCATTGCGCCAAAATCTATTATATAGGTAGTTATTATGTTAAAAGTTGCTCTCAAGAGGTATAGAACTTTAGTTCTTTTCAGTATATTTTTCTTTTACCTAGGATGCTGTTTAACTTTAAGTTTCTTACGTATTGATTGTACTAAGGTAACTGTTAGTAATAATAACGTCTTGCAACTGCAAGACGATACAATAATATTAGCAGAATATATTGTATTAATAGTTAGTAGTCCTAGTAATCAAGCTAAACGCGATGCTGTAAGAGCTACTTGGTCAAAGTTTGTAAATAATATATTCATTGATAACGGTCAAACAATATACAAGTGGAATTATTCTTGGACAACACAAAATTCTCAACATGGCATGATTAAAATATATTTTGCTGTAGGAACACAGGGATTAAATGATGAAAAAATAAAAAGCTTAAGGGCTGAACAAAAACATAGTAAAGATTTGTTATTTTTAAATATAGAGGACAATTACCAAAATTTATCTCTAAAAAATTTAAAAGCCATAAAATGGTTTAGTAAGAATGTAAAAGGTATGAAATATTTGATCAAATGTGATGATGATTCTTTTGTCAGAATTGATTTGATAGTAAAAGATCTTGAAGCTTTTGCACCAAGTATGACTGCACCAGAGATAAACCAATTTGTTACATTAAAAGTATGTATATTTATTTCTAAGGTTATATATTTATATTAGGTTCTTACCTATGAAATTACCATACATTATTACAAGCTAAGTAGTTCTAATTCAGTATCATTAAACTTAGTATTCCAATTTCAAATAAATGTGTCATACTTAAGCCAATGAAGTAAAGCATTGCTTTAAAAAAATAGTGGGCCATTTGTATTCACTCGGAAAAATACCATATGAACTAACAACTCGGATTGAAGTTTAAATTTCTTTATATTAAATGGTGATTTCATATATAAGGACCTAACATATACTAAACTTTGATTTCTATTATAAATTACTTGCAATGTTAGGTAAACTACTTTTACTGTAAAGTTATAAGAAATACAGAAAATTTGATAATAGCTATGTATAAATAAAAAATAAGAAAAACAGCACAAATATTCACTGTTGCCATTGTTTGAAACTTACTGCTAGGATTTTCTTAGTTTCTGTGAAATAAGATTCTGTATTTCACACAACATAAAATTCATATTTGTAATATTTTTTACAGTTTGATATTCCATCATTTCATACATTAATTACACCTCATTTTCAGAACAGGATACCCTCAGATAAAGGACTGTATTGGGGTTATTTTAACGGCCATGCTAATGTTTATCTAAATGGAAAGTGGCAGGAGAGGACGTGGTTTCTATGTGATAAATATTTGCCATATGCACTTGGTGGCGGTTATGTTATTTCTCGCAGTATTGTGGACTATATAGCCAACAATTCAAATTTACTAAGGTTTGATATGAAAAGAATGTATATACCTAAAACCTTCTTAATCATGTTTTGGATTTAGTGCTTTAAAATTTTTCACTTAATGGTGGAATATACATGTGGTAGACAAGCTGCAGCGGGATGTGGTAGACACTCTATTCTTATTCGAAGATAATAAAAGTAGGTGTCAATGAGACACAGAATTTACTTACCATCAGGTGGTGTGTTCCATTTGTTACATTCATGTAAAAAAAATAATGGATGTGGCCTTGATGCATGTGGATGGCTATAATTTTATACATACTGTTTTTTACTGAGTAACGTCAATGCCTTTTCAGTTAGATGAAATTATTTCAAGAATAAAATAAATAAAACTTTTAATTCAAGATTATTTATGCTGAACATAAGCCTTCCCCAAGAAATGCCACAAAGCAAGGTACTGACCCACTTACACTCAAATGTACTGCCTCTACCTATTTATTCTTACAAAATTTATAAACATTTAGTTAATAAAAATCCCAGGGATTGTGAATAGGGAGAGGTGTGGTATAGTTAGACACTGAACCCCGGGTTGATCCCCGCCGGCACAAATGAGATTGTTTATTGTTTGATATGTTTGTGTTTTGCTGACTTAGCACCTCCTTAGCAGTAAGGGAAACATTGTGCGAAAACCTTCAAGTCTGAGGAATATATTATAGGATATCCTAATAAATATGAAAATATATAAGAAAATGTCATAAGAGTTAGCAATCTTAGTCTCTAGACATAATACGAAAATATATAATAAAAAAACAAAAACATTAATTGAGAATTAACAACCGGTTTCTGTTTTCAGCAATCTAAGTGGTTTTAGAAAAGAATGATCATTGTCAAACATACAGTACATCAACCCTGCTTTTCAGGGATGTTTTTTTTAGTTTGAAGTGACAAATTAGTGGTACTAGTGGTCCACCTGATGGTAAGTAGCTACTACAGGCTATGATGGATAACTGCAACAAACTGAACAAAGAAGGTTATAGATGCCTTGTCACTTATGAGGACTAAGATGGAGTCCATACTGAAACACAGCAGTACAGCCACTTCTGCTTAGCAGCAGAAGTAGCTCAGAGTGGTTCGAGCCTGGCAGACTCCTATGTAGAAAAGAAATACTGTATTTAAGTTACATCTTCATAATCGTGGTCAGGCTCTTGTAATTGATGCCTTCTCTTCTGCTTCATCATTATACCATTACAGCCCTTCACAAGTCCATTGCTGTGTACCTAGTGCGAGATGTTGTTTTTATGTACTCGATACCGAGAAAGTTAACTACAATTTGTATGGAATAAAATCAGCGCCAACTAGTTGGCAATAATCGGAATCACCATCGAGCATTGACTTTCATTCGACAGGGAGAACGTTAACGCATGTGATTGGTTGGAACGGCAATTTCGATCATTCGAGACGTAAAACTTTACGCCGTTGATATCGAAAAAGTTTTCACCTAAATTTTTACAGTGAGATAGAAGAGTGAGAATAATTGTTGAATAGTTAATTTTATTTCCTTTTGTGAGAACGATATAAAATTTAGGCAGGACGTTTTTTTTTCGTTAGGAGGATGTTTGCAGCCACAAAGGCATTAATAACTAATAATAATAGATGACTGCTGTTATAGCGCCAGTGTTGAAGCAAGAGCTTGTGCATATTTTAGTCCGTTGTTACGAAGTATTCAAGTTTTTGTGTAAATAGCGTTTGATAAATCCAAGTTCGCCATCACTATTTAATAATTAAGTCTAATAAATTCCATTTACTGCCCCATAAATGTCACCATAAAATCATATTAGAACGAAAACATCTTCATGTTTTTTTGCTTTCAATTTAATATACTTTCAATAATTAACATTAAAATAAAGTGGCTAATTCACAATCTCATAATACTAACACAAACTGCGGAAACCTTGATCAAATTACGAAACATAAACAAATAGCTAATAATGAATTGTGATTCCGATTATTGCCACTAGTTGGCGCTGATTTTATTCTATACAAATCGTAGTTAACTTTCTCGATATCGATTGCGTAAAAACAAAATCTCGCACTAGGCACACTGAACATAGGAATGCCACAAAGTAAGGTCCTGAGCCACTTGCATCCATCGACTTCCTGCATGTCTTACCAGGTCGTCACTTCATCTAGTGGGGGGGTTTCCCTACACTTCGCCTACCGGGACGAGGCTGCCACTCGAGAACTTTTTTCCCCCTCGGTCACTCTTGTTCTATTGCGGATATCCTAATTTCTATGTTTATCATGCAGAGAAACCCCGAGCATAGCCCTCTGCATAGCTCGCAGAGCGATCTTGAGCGTTCTCATACGGCTAGCAGTAAAGGACCACGTCGCAGATCAATAAGTCATCACTGGCAACACGCACTGATTGTAAAGTTTCATTTTCAAGTTTTGAGGTATATCTGACGAGAAGATGTGTGGTAATTTCCCGAACGCTGCCCAGCCGAGTTGCATCCGTCGTTTGACCTCTCAGTCGAAGTTGAACTTACCCAGTAGGACTATTTGTCCCAAGTAAACATACTCGTCAACAACTTCGAGCTTAGTGCTCCTAACAACTACCGGCATAGATGTGACATGGACGTTATACATGATCTTTGTTTTGTCCATGTTCATCTTAAGACCTATCCGTTGGCAGGCACTATTGAGGTCACTGAGCATAGTGCTTAGGTCCTCCAGCGATTCTGCCATAAGGACTATATCGTCGGCAAATCGAAGGTGAGTGATGTACTCACCATTGATGTTAATACCGTGTGCTTTCCAGTCCAGTAGCTTGAAAACGTCTTCCAATGCAGCAGGTGAAGAGTTTCGGGGATATAACGTCACCCTGTCTTGCACCTCTCTGCAGTTGGATAGTTTTCGTACTCTGGTTCTGTACTCGGAAAGCCATCGTAGTCCTACTATATAATTACTTCAGCAATTCGATATACCGACAGTCAACTTGGCACCGCTGAAGGGACTGCAGCACCACCCAAATTTCGACGGAATCAAAGGATTTCTTCTAGTGCATATACGTAAGACATAGTAGTAATTTGCCGAAGGGTATGTATGTGGTCTATTGTGCTAAAGCCTTTTCGGAAACCGGCTTGTTCGGTAGGCTGCAATTCATCGAGTCTGCGTGCGAGACGATTCGTAATGACTCTAAAACAGCACGTAGACGCGGCTTAAAAGGGAAATCGGTCTGTAGTTCTATAACAGAGTATTGTCGCCTTTCTTGAAGAATAAGACCACCGCACTTCTGCTCCACGCCTCCAGAGTAGTGCTACCATGGAGGACGGAATTAAAGATCTTCTGAAGGTTTTCAAGTACCGGTTTTCCTCCCGCTTTCAGAAGCTCCGCTGTAATTCCATCCTCGCCCGAGGACTTGTCGTTTTTAAGGTGCTGGGGAGACATTCTAATCTCGCTCAGACTGACTCGCTCTCTACTGCTTGATGCTATAGAAATATCTTTTAATGTCCTACAAGCCAAAGAGCCTTTTTGGACCTTATTATACGTAGGCAGTGTATACCTATATGTGACATTAAGTTTGTTATTATTGCATCATTGTAAATTTCTTATGCCATAAATAAAGTACTGAACCACAAATATTAAGGTCATATTAATTGTCCTTCTGTGTGACCTTCCAGGGGGGACCTATATTGACTCAAACGCTATAAAAACAAATGTATATCAATTTGTCCAAATAGGTAAAACTCCTACGCGCATTAAAATAATAAGTAAAAAGGTGTTTTCGAATTTAGAATTTATTTTTAAAGCCTTGTGTACAGTTATGAATTCTTATATTTATGCGAACACTACACATTAAATGAAACTATTTTTGTGCTTTATAGTACCCATGTCCCCCCCCCCCCGTGACTATGGGTGCTGTAAATTTAATATTAATGGTTGAATATTAAGTACCACATATTCAAATGTAATTTTTAACATATAATATACTAACAATTTTTAAATTTCAGTTATTACAATTCAGAGGATGTCTCGATGGGTGTATGGACAGCTGCACTAGATATAAACAGGGTTCATGACATTAGATTTGACACTGAGTGGAAATCAAGAGGTTGTAATAAAACAATGTTGGTGCGGCACAAGCAATCGCCCAGTGATATGTTCGAAATGTATGAGACTTTAGTGCACTCTCATGGAGAAAAACTTTGTAAGACTGAAGACTTTAAGAGAAAAACATATTTTTACAATTGGAATGTATTGCCTAGTATGTGTTGTAGCAGTACACAAAATTAAATTAATACTTTTATTTTTAGCCCCTATTTTTTTATAATTGTCTAGTCAATCACATCATATTCACGAGATAAAATCAAACACGAAAATAAGGAAAAGTCATTTTATTCATATAATAAACACAACAATAGAGCTCTTTAAATTATTTCTTAAAATAAATTTATAATAAAATAGCAAATTAAAGGTTTCTGCATACGTAACGTGTTGAAAGCCAAATGGAACGGGACGACAATTTTTGGATAAAAAGTGTATACGTCATTGGCGCACGGACGGGACGGGGACGACACATACTTGTAGAAACAGCATAATTGGCGAAGATGTAATGAAGAATGAAGCCCTGCTCCTTCTGTGGTTTGGCGGTGTATTAGTGTTACCGTGCTAGAAAGTTTACCGCAAAAACTGCAGATGTTATGAACTTTTGGTAGACAAAATTCTGGTTTTAGATGGAAAAATATGTTCTGCGATTTCAGGCGACTTTTTAGAGGGTTCTTAATTTAGAAACTAAAAATGTCTTATTTAAAACAATGAATCTTATCAGTATCATGAAAGCATCACACAAAAAAGGGAGATCTGCACGATTATGGAAAAGAATGGAAAAACTACGTAGAATTCAAACATTAGTTGAAACCCGTGACGGGTGACTCAACTCCAAAACGTACGCAAAATAGATATATAGATTTGAAAAAGACAAATGAAAAAACAAAGCAAAATGCGAGCTAGTTTTTCATAATAATCAACTGACATTCTCCAATACCAGTGAAAACATGTAAGTCTTGTGTAAGGGTGCTTTTAAACTAGAGATGTGCTATATTATGTTGCTATGGATGCGTACTTATGGATGGTCGCGCTGGTGTGTATGTGCTGTACAGTAGGCGCGCGTTTTTTGCGCGTGGAAGCTAAAAGTTATTTTATATCTCGCAATTTACGAAAAAGAACTCATATATTCTGGATGCAAAATGATATTAAATATCACCTGATACAATCAGAATACATTGTTCCAAACAGTTGAGGATGAGACGTTACAGAATTCTTACAGAGCAACAAGAAAGTAAAATTGTTACATAATATGATCGAACCATATATCAAGAAGGAAGATACTCACTTCAGAAAATGTGTTAGTACGAAAAAAAGATTAGCGGTTTGTTTAAAGTAGACTTTCGAGATGCGCATTTTCCTCGCAAAGCTACTTTGCGCCGGCGCATCTTCATAGCACATCTTACCCGCCCTGCTACATAGTTTAGCATTTTTTTTTTATAGGATAGGGTGACAAACGAGCACACAGTCCACCTGATGGTAAGTGGTTGCTGTGGCCCATAGACATCTACATTTATCCTCGTTTGCGAATCAAAATGCAGATGCGTTGTCACCCGTGAGGGCTAAGATGGAATGCCTCTTTTCCAGTAAAACGGGTCTCCGGTTCTCTACACTCACCATACGAAACACAGCAGTGTGAAGCTGCTATTTGACGCTGGTATTGCATCAGCATCAGTGGAAACGGTCACAGAGTTTCGTAGCTTAGCTTTCACATCCTCGCAGCAAAGCATATATAGCATCCTGCACATCTCTGGTGGACAAGCACACTAAGAGCTGAGTGTACGTAAGTCCTGTATATTGCTAAACATAGCTCAATTCCCCACATAGATCACTTGACTGATGTGTGTAAAAATACTTTAAAGAGTTCAAAATCTACAAATGACATGAGATTTTTGCTTTGCAGTCGTTAGAGATTTCTGATGCTGTTGGAATAGTAACAGAATTGATACAGTGATAACTTCAAAAATATAAACCGATAACGCAGTCATGACCGTGTTTACAATTCTCAAAATGCAACATTATGTTCTACATCTTATTTTGATACCTTGTGTTTAACACTCATAACAATTGGCAGCAATGCACGCATCAGAAATAACTGCCACGAACATAAAGTTTCTGGTCCTGGAAACCTAGAATTGGTGCTCTTACTTGTCAAAACGGCCAATTGAGTATTTAGGTTATAAATTTTATGCAAAGTCGATACTCCGGCGTATGCAGTCTCTCCTGAAATATCGTAGCGATTCACGTGTCGTATTTATCAAGAAAGCAAATTGGATGAAGAAAAAGTAATAGAATGTGTATAATCTTATCAAGCTCTTCCACACCCAAAGTAAACTAAACTATACACTTTTTTTGTACAGAGTGTTTTTCTTCTGGAGAATATCAATTGATGCTAATTCTTCACCTTTACCAGCACGTTACCGTCCACGTTCCGTCCACGTTCTAATGCCGTTATGTATACAGTGACCTTTGACCACCATATAAAATCAACAATTACCTGTCACAATTCGTAAACTAATTAAAGGCGTTCATAAGGGTTTGTCAAACAATTTGAAATCATAATATTTTCTTAATTATGGCTGAATATGTTCTTTGTTCTTTTTTCATATTGCTACAAACGTTAGATTTCCCTATAATGTATATATGTTATCTATGTATGTTTAAATAGAACATTCAGTGTAATAAAATATCAAGATGCTTAAATTCTATAGAACTTAATTAGTTTACACAATAATATATTGTTTGTTCTTGTGTATTTTTATCCTATATAAGCTGTAGTAGCAAATGCGATTAATAGAACTGTTTTCAGATTTAAATTTGAATTCATATTGTGTACTATCATAATTTTTATAATTTTGCCATTTTTGTGAACCTTACATTAATATTTCAAGATAAGTTACTTCAATAGTATATAATCCTAATATCACATTAATAGAGGATTCTAGCGAAACATACCTTCTTAATGAGAAGTCTTTACTTTGAAATCTATGTATGTTTGATTGTTGTAAAATGTTGTACGTGATAATTCCTCTTTAAAGTAGTCGATTGTTCTCTGAAGACCATCCTGTAGAGAAACCTGAAATTAAAAATATATTATAATACGTGTTATTAAATTGATACTACGCAAACGTAACGACTGACGCCCCTCGCTAAATGGTGGATTTATTTCTTTAGGAAAAAGTAGGTCATTAACAAAGTTGTTGGTTTTCTTGATAGCGTGTGCATGCATGTGTGTGTGTGTGTGTGTGTGTGTGTGTGTGTGTGTGTGTGTGTGTGTGTGTGCGTGTGTGTGTGTGCGTGTGTGTGTGCGTGCGTGTGTGTGTGTGTGTGTGTGTGTGTGTGTGTGTGTGTACGCGCGTGCGCGTGCGCGCGCGCGTTTTAATTAAGAGAGATTTTTGTGAGAATATAAGGTATTTTTATTGTAAGTGAATAGCGTTAATTATAAAGTTCGGTGGTAGTTAATCAATAAGGCCTGAATAAAAAAACTATGATAAAACATCTTTGAACTCTTTCTAGCAAAAATCTGGTTTTCATAGCACCCAATTTATCTCATATTGGAATACTATAACCAATAACTGTAACTGTGTCGTATAATGACTTAACCTACTGCCTTGACCAATAAAAGGAATAACGCTCAGTGCCTTTGTTCCTTTGCAATATATACATGCATAGCACTGGACACAATTGATGCAAAAGCTGAGCGTCACCGGACTCCGATATCTGAGTGTAGTATTTTTGGGATGGACATACGCGTTTGCGGCACCTGAGATTATCTATAATTATAGGCAATGTGAATAAAATTTTATTGCAGGTAATATATAATTGCCGTTTTGATTAGTTATAAGCAGTAAATAAGAAAATAGTTTTTGCACTAATTTTACTCTTCTTGATTCAAAGCCATCAACAAGACAAAGAAATGTGCGTATCGAAGAGAATATTGCTGTTGAAGAAGACGCCGAAATATCTTAAATAACTTGTTGGCCTTTGTCCTTCGACTACGTGGAAAATTTTACGTAAGGATCTTGGCTTACGTGCCTATAAAATATAGCTCGTGTAAGAATTAAAGCCAAATGATCATCATGATTTCTTATATTTACGCGAACACTACACATTTAAATAAAACTAATTTTACGGATTTTATCGCGTAGTTATTTTATATTCCCGATGTTTCGAGCACTTTACAGCACCCACGGGGTCACGGGGGTGGGGGGGGGGCGACTGAGGTATATGACGTCTTAATGTCATAGTTAACGGCGGCTACCTCCAAATAAAAATTATTAATTTTTGTTTCGATCTACGCAGTATGAACTTACAGTATCTTGGAGTCTTACTTGTATGGGTTGGGATTTAATTTTATTAATTATGACATCCCAAGCAGATGGTAGCACCCAGCCATCTTCTCTTTGAAATTAGGATGTTTTTAAAATATAAAATAAGTTAATATACGCGATAAAATCCGTAAAATTAGTTTTCTTCAAATGACCATCGTTTACGCGCATTTTTGTTGATTGGGCTAATTTGAAACTGGCCGAATATGAGCATTTTTATCGAAAAATTGTATTTAGTGATGAAGCTCATTTCTGGTTAAATGGCTTCCTGAATAAGCAAAATGTAGAGCAAAGATCTCTCGAAGTGTAAAAAAAAAAGAATACTCAAGCCATTAACGAATCACCATTACATCCATTAAACTGTTTGGTGGGGTTTACACGCTGGCAGCATCATCGGTCCTTTTTAGAAATGAGAAAGGGGCTGCCGGTGCCGTTACGTTGAATGGCGAGCGCTATCGAGCCATGCTGACAGGTTTTTCGTTTCGTTTCGTTTCGTTTCATTCAAACATCGACGACATTTTGTTTCAACAAGACGGCGCAACTTGCCATACAGCGCGCTTAACTATCAATTTATTGCAAAATCAATTTGGTGACAACTTTATTTCCAGAAGTGGTACTGTTAACTGGCCCCCTCGTTCGTGCGACTTAACGCCTCTCGGTTACTTTGGAAGCCAAAATTCAAATTCTTTATTTGCTAGTAAATAGGTACAAAATATTTTGTTCTTGGTGTTATCACAATGTGTTGAGAAAACCTATTTAGCTGTTTTAAAGCGCATGCAAACGTCCAATAGTTTTTATAATATAATTAGTTTCTAAACTTAATCTATACACATAACTAAAAACATCCTTTTACATATTTTA